AGGACAATAATTTTCTCTGCCATAGCAATTTACCAGCAGCACCATGAGTAATGACCCAGCTCAAGTTAAACGAAGGACAAAGCAAATGAAATACTTGTAGCGAGCGGGGTCCGACACCATGGGCATCTGCTTGTCTCGCATCTTGGCTGGGTGCAGAGCGGTAGTCTGAGATCCAATAAATCCGGCTTGGTGGGCCGCAAGGTGGGCAGGCAAGGTCCGTAACCGTTACCAGGGCGGCTTGGAGGAGGGAAGGGGACGGAGGGAACGGAGGCAGGAGGAAGCACAGGTTGTCGGTACCATACGCGCAAGTGGACTTGACAAGGGTTACATGAAGAGAAACGAGCTCATCCTCAACTCTCCGACTCTATCCCATAAGAAAGCAAATGTGCCGGTGCTCAAAGTCACAGCGCAAAACGAAAACGGATAAAGAGAGGCAAGGGGTGGAAAGAGGAAAAACGAAAGTATGATAATAATAATAAAAAAAGGCGAGAAGGCCCCCGAGAGCCAAAAGGAAAAAAGGGGTCAATGAAGCAAAAGAAGAAAAGAAGAAAAGGCAAAAAAAAAAAAAAAAAAAAGACCCAAGGAAACCACGTTATTCGGTCCTGAAACGAAACACGACAGGCTTACTCTTTGTGGCGAGTTTACTCATTCCCACTCCAGGGTACCGATGGCAGACCTGGAAACAAAGAGTCTGGTACGAGTACCGTACTCGAGTAGCGTTTGACAGTCTCATGATTCATGTCAGATGCTGAAATTGAGTGCGAGGCTGGGCAAAAAATGATTCGACCGGCGGAAACTCGGAGGAAATCAGCGAGCAAGGGAGCGAAAGAGGAGGGAAGAGGGAAAGACCATTAAAAAACCGGACCCAATTTCGAAGGGGACCGCCATCTCGGGACACAGAAATACAAAAAACAGTCTGACCGTTCTGCCCGCCATCCCCTTATCGTAAAAGTGTGGGGTGTGATGGTAGGGGGGACCCTTGATATACAGGTACAGTACGAGTACGGTAACATCCATCTTCAAATGCTGTGAATTTGTTTTCTTTCCGGGGAAAATCCTTTCTTTCTGATTTTTTTTTCCTTTTTTGATGTCCGTTCCCCCACAGCCATCCTAGGTTAGGCGAATTTTATTATTTCATTTTTCCCCTTCCTTCTCATCCCATACCGGTAATCCTTCGTACGCCCCCCCTCCCCTGGATTCCCGACATCGCAACGAAGCGAAAGCCACCGGACAACTCAATCAATTCATTAGAACATTCAGCCTATCGTTCGTTTAACCTATGATACCCACACCACAGACCCCTCTTCCCTCCCCCTAAGACGTGAATGCGAGAAAATCGCTATCCACAGCATACGAGTACTTCTCTCGGCAGCATGGAACATTCCCCTAGGATTAGAACTCCCGGGAACCAATTGAGCTCACCACCACCACCCCAGCCCAAAGGGGGAGGAGGAGAAGGAGTGAACGTGAACGTGAAAGTGAACGGATGGGAAGGGGAAAAAAAAAGAAAGTAGGAAAAAGTAATTAAGATAATTGATATGTAAGAAATCGGCAGTGAAGGAAGCATATGATAATCATCAACGTCAACTTCTTCCTTTCCCCTTCTCGTACGAGGATTACAGTTACCGCACTCCACTGTGCGTGCTTCTCTGTACGTCAAACCCACAGCAGCAGTGCTCGAGCAGATTCTGAGAAGGCCGGGGGGGGCAGGGAAAACCTCGGTGGTGCTGAGGAAACGAGAAGCAGGAGGAGGGAAGGGGAAGGAAGGATTGTGGTGATAGGTAGGTAGGTAGCAGGGTGCACACCCTCGCTGCAGCTCTTCCTGTGTGAGTAGGGTGACGATGACAGTGGAGGACTGTTTTTCTCTTGATAGATGCAACACCACACAATGATCATTAACTCACTGTGCAAGCCAAGTTTGATAGACCCAATTGTCGATCACCACGGGTCTGTCTCAGATCATGCTAATCTCTGCAGTTTTCTTTATCGATTCGGGTCCCAGCTAGCAAGGACGAAGTCAGCCCCAATCCATTGGGATTAAACTAAAAAATAACAGTTGGGGGAGGGGGGCGAAGGAGTCCAGTACGAGTACTACCAGTACCACTACACTACCATACGAGTACGAGTACTCGAGTACAATGCCGCCGCGCTAGGAGCGCTGCTATACTCGTACAGTAGGAGGGGTGGTGGCGGTGAAGGGGGTGAGAAGAGGGGGGGGCTAGCAACAGGAACCTAATTCTTGCTTGTCCTTACTCCTCTTAACCTCCCCCTTCACGGAGTCAGGGAGTCAGGTTTTATTTTGGCTGCGGACCCTTAGGCAATCAGCAATAAGATCGTTAGGGAACCAGTTCTTTAGGAAAATCAACCGAGACTGAGGTTCGCGACCCGGGTCCAAAGAGGGGTGAGAGAAAGGGAAAAATTTAGGGCACAGTAAAGTACCTCGATTTTGGGGGAGGGGAGGGAGGTGGAGAGAGAAAACGAACGAGGATTGATTTACCGTACCTTAAGGGAGATGGTATCATAACTTTGTGTCCTTCCCAAAACCCTCCCACTAACCAATCATTGGGATTGACTGCGCGTTGCACTTTACTTGACCTTAAGGATTGAATCGGATTGACCGTGAGCAATATCGAATGGGACCCAATTGAATAAGTTAGCCCCCAATACTCGAGTACTCATACATTTCATTTTTTTTTTTTCGTTTGTTCCCACAGCCTTCCCTCCCCCCCCCCGGGTGTCATGTTCCTGGTGATGGATGCAACGAAGCTGCAAGTTACGGGATTGGCTGAAAGCATGTTAACAAGCTTCTCCCACGTGACCACTCATCCGACTTGTTAGAATTTGTTGGTTTTTTTTTTTCCCCTCTCCCCGACTTGTTAGAAGTATCATCATATCATACTCGTATGATAGTACTAGTACTATCGCACAACACAACTACTGTGCCCTATTTTAACCCTAGGGTGCCAGGCGGCGTCTAAAATCGACCGTCACCACCACCACCACCAAATCCAACAAGTGAACGAGCTCCAACAACAACAAGCAACAAAAAGATTTTTGGAGAACAAGAACTTTGTATAGTATACAGATGCTTAAACCGGTTTCTCTCTCTCTCTCTCTCTCTCTTTTTAATTTTATATCTTCTTGACAAAATGAAGTGAGAACGGTAAGAGGGAGGGACATTCTAAAGATGCTGTACGAGTACTTTACTGTATTCGAGTACAATGCTAGTACTACAAGTAGTATGATACTCGTACAAATTTATGCCAAGGCGCTACTTTTTTATACCTTATCATACCTCTCACTCACTCACTGCCTGTACTTCGTACAATACAAGTAAGCGAGCACAAAGTGAACCAGAATCGGTTTATAAGTGTCCAACGTTCCCATTGTACGATCCACCGTAACAGAAAAGTGTAACGAGATAATAATTAGGAACTGTTACCGCAGTCTACCGTTAGCGCCGTACAGTGTACTGTACTCGTACAAGTACGATACTACGAATAGCGTCATAGGGCAAGGTACAAGTAGTCGAGTACAGTACTCGTACAAGAAGTTGGTGGATCCATCAAGGATAACATACGGTACTCTACTCTTACGGTAGTCACATCACCCACCTCGCCAAGCCTAACATTCACATTCACATTCACACAAACATTCTCCCCGGTTCGTTTGAAAAACGAACGGCGAAGAAAGGAAGGAAGAAAAGGAAGGAAGTTACGCAGGTTACAGTTAATTGAATCCCACACACACTTCAATCGCAATCTTGGAAGCGCTTGGATGAGAGTCGCCGATGCATACATTGCATCGCATATGTGTATCCGTCATAAGTTAGGTTATGAAAAGGTTGCGTTCTCTCTCAAAAAAAAAAAAAAAAAAAAAAAAAAATTTTTTTAAGCGATAATAATTATTATTACAATATAAATTTACTACAGAGCGTTCGCTCGGGCGGGCAAACACCCAACGCTCCCCACCGCACGCGACAAACTGGTTGGGCGAGGTATCATACTTCGGTAGGTAAATGGGTAAGGTAGGTGGGTAAATGGTTGGACGAGGAAGACTGACGATTGTTGGAAAAAGGGACACATGAAAAAGTCCCAAAGTCCCGAGTAACGAATGCTTCATGTGCTGTTGCTGCAACTGTACGGTACTGTACAGTACTGTATGGACAGGGAGGATGGACTATAAACTTTTTTTTCTTCTCTACATGTTCCCTGGGTTCTCCTCTTTTATTTATTCCTTTTCATGGGGGGGAATTTTTTATTATTTTTATTGTTTTTTTTTTTTTTAAAAAAAAACCCCCCATTGTTCCTTTGAGTTATATCGCTCTCTCGGTTTATTGTTGTTTCCTCGCTTCCTTCCCTTTCCGACTCTTCTGCATCTTCCGCTTAAGTAAAGAACCGATCACCCGTGTTCAGTATAGACCAGGTATAGTACTGTATCATGCTGTGTGAGAACTGTGTTCACACATTACTTACTATACAAGTAATTATAGTACTGTACAGCACCTCTGGCATCTTCACTACGTGCATGGACTCATCTACACTACATTACCTTATTCCCTTTCTTCTCACTCTTCGACTACCTTATGCTCCTTTAATGTCCGCCGACATGCCTGTGAACTTATGCTGGCGTACCAAGTGCCGGTATATCCCAACACACCTAACTACTCGAGTAAACCTCTTGAAGTTTCTTGGCCCACCGGAGGTTAGAACAAACATCATGCGTGTCGTGAGCCGAGGGAAGCACAAGGTTTAGCGTGATGCGGCAAAAAGCTAGTTGTAAATCAAGATAATGCGCGCTAACACTATCTTCCATCACTTTACAAAATTTAGAAAACCCAGTGAATGTAGAATCTCGGGAATTCATATTTCCCGATAATTTCTTTAGGTACAACCACTATGAAAACACAACTTCGGGCGGCCGAGATAGGAGAGAAAAAACGCATCAACTTATGCGCCAGCTTGCAGAATTGAGCAAAAGAAATCACAAATCTCCCGCCCAAAATTTCAGATGCCTAACAACACCTTTCCCTTACAAAAAATCTCGCACGTTGGTATCGTCGATTGACACCACCCAAACAAATGGAACCATGTGACCATCCACCAGCTTCAATCACGTACGGTACGCGAAACCATCCCGCCATTTCACGTCATATGTGGTCCATCCATTTACAAACCAGCACAGTATGAGATTGCACAGAAACAAAGGAAAAAATATAGCACGAAAGACGTTGAGGAAGAAAAGAGTGAGCAATGAAAAAAGAAAGAAAACCCGAAAGACAACCCACCAAATGGTACAAGTACCAAACGCCTACCTAACCCACCCAATAGGAAAGAAAAAGAGAACCTTATTTTCTGCGCATGATGATTTTTTGTTTTTGGAAACGTGAACCCTGGGACAGGGCAGAAGATGCTGGTGTCCTTTAGAACGAGTGAGCACCATGGGAGACCTCAAGGCCCCCGTAACTATCTCCTGGGTCAGAATAGCTTCCGGATGAGGTTTTCCCAAGGGAGCACGAAAGGGAATCGAAGGAGATTGGGCTGTTTATGTCATTGGTTTCCGTCTTGGACACAGAATCATCATCGTCATTCCCATTATCTCGGACAGTCTCTAATTGGTCGATGGCGGTCGAGGGTCTCCAATGAGGGGCTTCCCAATCCCCAGGTTTACCGGAACCAGATTGGGGGATCACAGGACTATAGCGGTTGTTAAACTCACGTTCTAGGGATGGGC